CAGAAAATATTGCTAGCGCCTTCTTTTGCACATATTCATTGTCTATTTATATATTATAGTCTATTATTATATACAACATTCAGCATGTATGTAATAAAACTATTTTTATGAATATATATAGACAAATATATGGAAAGAGAGAGAGAGAGGAGGGGAGAGGAAGAGAGAAGAATATAGATTATCTTCATATATATCCTGGATATCACTATTAAATTCTACTCAAGCGATCATTATAGATCAAGAGTTCAATTTTAAATAAATATGAAATAATATACGCTTGTCTGATTCATATCACGTTCTATTTTATCTTTAAACTAAATAAAATTTTTCATAATTTCGAATTCTATATTTTAAATTATCATTAACGAGCCCATCAAAGAGCTCTTATTTGCGGCAAATTAATTTCCGTCGTACATAATGATTAAAGATCTCGAACAATTCAAATCTCAAGATGGTGCTGAACAAAATAGTACGCTCTAAGCAAAAAATATTAAGTAAGAAGGACGATATTACAATAAAGTCGAAATTTTCTAAATCAAAATTTTTCATCCCTTACTGCGTAGTGTACCTGAATGGATTGAAGTCCTTATTTACTATGGAGAAACCGCGAAATTCTTCTTGATTGATGTCGCTCAATTTGTCTGCACTCTCCGGCGTTAACACTGGATCCTCCTTCGTAAATTCCGTATCAAAGTTCAAGGCATCTTTTTCATTTTTCTGAAAATTGCAGCAAACAATTGCACACAATCAGTCGTTTATCATTTATTAAATGCGAAAGAACAAATTGATACTCACAATTTTAGGTCTGATTGGAGGTTTTATTTTACGCGCTTCAAGAGCTTCCCAATCCAGATGTTTGAAAAATGGCTGAACCCTTATGGCACTTTCGCCACCTTCGGCTGCAACACAACCTAATCGCTTGGCAGGATTCTTGGTCATAAAGGCTTTTAAAACAGATTCGGCTTCCGGAGAAACCCACCCCGGAAACACCAAGTCATCTCGTAAAATCGATTCAAACAGATCGTCCTCGTTTTCGGCCTCGAATGGTGGTTGCCCCGCTACCATTTCGTATAACAAAACACCGAGAGCCCACCAATCGACACTAGCACCATATGGCAATTCTTGAAGTATTTCGGGAGCTATATAGTCCGGTGTACCACAAAATGTCGATGTTGTCGTTTCTCCCTCAATTATATTCTCCTTACACATTCCAAAATCCGCCAGTTTACAATGTCCTTCCGCATCCAATAATATGTTGTCCAACTTCAGATCGCGATATATAATATGATTTCTGTGCAGAAATTGAAGTGCAAGTATCACTTCTGCTGCATAGAAACGTGCCCTCGGTTCGTCGAACTTCCGAGCTTTCTGAATATGGAACATCAGATCACCTGGAAAAATCAAGAAATGACAATACAATATACTTATAAGTAAAAATATTTTTCTTTATATTATGTATAAATTATTATTATTCTAAAATAACAATTTTTATACCTCCTTTCACATATTCCATAACGAAGAAAAGTCGATCAGCTGTTTGAAAACAACTGTGGATGGCTGTCAGGAAAGGATGTTTGGCTGCGAGGGTTAAAATCCGTTTTTCCGTCATCGTGCAATCCACGTCGTCATCTTGAATAATAACAGTCTTCTTCAAGATCTTCACGGCGTAAATCTCATCGGGATTACTTTTTCGCTCGACCAACATTACTTTACCGAAACTGCCTTTACCGAGAACCTTAATAAAATTAAAGTCATCTAAACCAAATTTTTTTAATTCGCTATTAGTTGCTCCTTCATCTTCTTTGGCATAAGCTGGCATGTCTGATAATTTTTGACTCGATTGTGAATTGTCCATGCCCATTTCGTCTGACTGATCTTCGTCTGACAGTTCTTCTGTCAGATCATCTGAATATCTTTTTGTCTTTTTTTGATCATCTGTTTGTTTCTGATCTTTTATTGTTTTCTGTCCTTTTTTTTGTCCCTTTTTCATTCCCTTTTTATCTTTTTTATAGCCCTTATCATCCTTTTTTTGATCATCTGATTGATCTTCTTCCTTTTCTACGATTGTAGGTGTTTGCGGACGTGAAGACATCCTAATTTTCGGAGCTCTTGATTGCTTATTTGCGCAAAAATTTATTGTTTTCAGTATTTCACTCATAGCCTTGGTATTGATACCGCAACTATTTGGAACATTCTTTTGACATCTTTTATGAACATTCATGTTACAAGCTGCAGAAAATACAATACAGTTTAATAAGTTTACTTGATGAGAATTGTAGTAGAAATATAAATAATAGTATTACCTTCACATTGTAAGCCTTGCCTGATCAAACCGTACAATAAAGATCCACAATGGTCACAGAATGTAAATCTTTTGTAACTATGAATCGCGAACCGATGGGGGACATCTATGCTAAATCGTGCTATTTCTGTGCCTTGTTGGTTTGACTGTAATCCAGCAGTTCCACTACCCTAAGTGAATCATTCGAAAAACCAAACTAAGAGAATACGTAAAATAAAATTACGGAACCTAGTAGAATAAAATTAAGATTGGTGACATAAAGAAATTTGATATGAAATTTATATATGTATATATTGTTACATTCATAGTCGTGATTCATAATTTTATATCCTTGTCTTTACGTATATCTCTGTTCGTGTGAAAAATTACACGAAAGAGTTACACAAGAATTGAACATACCAAATATAATTGTATGGTTTATGGAACAATTATCATAATGTTAGATAGAGATTTAAAATGTCATACATATAAAAAAATATCCATTTTAAAATGAACGATCTCCTTCTTCGTCTCTAGTTTTTCAACAGATAGGAAAGTTCCGCAAGAATTGTTACTGCAGATTATCAAGATTTGTTTTCGTAATTTCAATACATCACTTCTTGTGGGAGAATAGGATTTTAAAGGTCCCCGATTAACGCAGTTGAGAAAAGTGATCATTTTTCGATGATGTCGATTTCCAGGATATTTTTCGTTAAACTCCCTCCAAGGAGGCTTAATATCTTCTATCTGGAAATTTTCATCATGTTCACTTGTAATAAAATTTTCTATTTTTCCCTACCCAATCGTTCTTTTATTCAAAATCAAGACATCAAAATCCATATCAATCTTAAAGATATAATTTTTCCCATGTACAATGCTCTTTATAACAAAAATTATTAAAATTCTGCTATATTTTACAATACTTATTCTAAATCAAATTTTAACTTTCAAGTTTCAAAGATCTTTCCAATACAAGCTTGCCCCGCGAAGCTCGACTATTATAAATATATGTCTTGTTCTTGAAACTTTTCATAGACGCTTCAAAAAGAAAGAATTCGTTTTTTTTGCATTTAAGTTATTGATGTTTCGCGCACTATCAGCTGTATTTCACGCTCCACTTTCCGCGTTTAAATTATTTATTAGTTACAAAAGTCTTTCCTATGTTAAGCAGAACTCTTTGTCGTGCTTGTCAGTCTTTCCGCGAACTCGTCCTCTCTACATAACTATTCTTTTCGCAGCAGACGAATGTTCTTCATTACCGCCTGCAGCATTATCTTCTCTTTTAAGGACTTTGATATCATCACATAAGATTTCTTTTTGGATGCCTTCGCTATTCTTTCTTATTCCGAATGAGTTTTTAAAATATTAAATCTGCGGTTGCTATTCACAATCTTGTATCTTCGTGTCACTTTTACGCATCTCTAGTGGCATAGAGAAGTATCACATAAGTGTTAGGAAGAAAAAAAAACTGAATACATTTATTAAACGGAACAGTGATTATATGTCGTGACACAGAAAATGTCCATTCCTCTTTCCTTATCTCAAGGTTTCAACAACTATAAATTCATCAAAAATCTCTTCAGATTGACACTTGAAGTTCAAGACAGCTCGACACGGGTGTAACAATATATATACATATAATATTTAACAATTAAAACTTATCAATATAACAACTAATCAGAGATTAGAAAATGCGACAAAATGTTCAGAAATAGAATGTACAATAATCTTGATAACATCAATATCATGAAAATCATGTGAAATATTTCTATTATGTCACATAATTGTAAAGATAATTGACAAACATACCTCATCTTTCATTCCAGGACATTTGGTTATCACCAACATGTGGCACCTTTTGTGAACTACGCAAGTACATACTGAAACAGCAACACATAAAATATCCTCTTATAAAAATGCTCATTTTCACGACGTAATGCTAAATACAGCATGTCCAAAGCTAGCTGCATGCGTGATAAGACGCATCCGAAAATTATTTATAGTAATATTTATAGTAATAAGCAGAGACAAAATTATGATTCACCTAATATTATTTTTGGTATGGAATTTCTCAAAGGTTTCGATAATAAAAATGTCATCAAGCTTTAAAATAGCTTGTCCAGAATTTTTATCAAAGGGCAACATGCAAAAAAAAAATTGATCATAGAGCTAAATTGTACCAAAGCAAATAAAATAATTTAGAGACGTAGCCATTGCATTAAGAACTAAAATCCTTATGTGATTATAGTCATAAATAAAATATTGCAATATTCTCTTTTAAAGCAATTTAACCCTAAGACGATCATGTGTACTAGTACATTTGCAGTGAACAGATTATGCATGAACTGATGCGACATGTTGTGAGGCGCTACGGTAGTTAGAAATGAAGCATCAAAGAAGCTGTTAAATCGATTGATTAAGAGCCTTTAATCGTGATTTTTCTCGTCGCTAAAACTAATCGCACATACACACTCATAACTGCACACACATTTATACATAAGGGTGCGGCAAGCGGGTATATAACTATAATCTGTTAATAATGGTGTATGTGTCTTCTCACCTTGACACTGATAGCCCTGCTTGCCAAAGCCCCTGAAATATAACAGACAAAACACGTCACATCGTATCCTCATAATCCCTTCTAAGACACATACGTTTGCCTTCTTCAATCATGCTTAGTCATCATCTATGCTAAACTCCTTGATTTTTAGATGATTAAGAACTTGTACGATGAGAAACAGATTGATCAAATCACTTCATAGATCGTAATTGATATTTAATTTCTTATTTTATTGTATTATGTTTATTCCAAAATAATACTAATTGGAACGGTATGTTGTGCAAATGCTCCAACACCTAAATATCTTGATATGAATTTAGCAGATTATATAGGCACGTGCTCTTGTATAAATCCCAAGCATGCAGCCCATTTAAGACAGAAAAATTTATACCAAACAGCGAAATATGCCCTGATTATAGCAATACCAAGCTTGCTTTCTCTAATCTGCACTTGTGTCCCCCGCATTAAAATAATTATTTGTATTCAGTTTCCAATACAAACCATTGTTAATTTCACACTGGTCAATAAATATTTCTTCTTGACATTATTATAATGTAGAAATAAATGAGAAAAGACTAAATACCTGGTGCATGCAATCCTGAATTTTGCAAAATTTCAAGTTAATTATTCAATGTGCATTATTATTAATATATAAATTTGACTGATGTATTTCTCCTTGTAAAATGTAAATACGGATAAAATGTACACCAGTTCAAGCACGCTCCCGTTTTACAAGTATTTCAAGATAGCACGTAATCGATTTTCAAAGATAGCGTCAAGAAATATTTGTACGTAGGATCTTAAGCGATGAGAAGCAATGCTTTTGCCTAGGCATACATACCATATAAAGTCCCGACAATGTGAACAAAATGTCGGTTGTCTTAGAAAGGTAGCCATGAATTTGTGCCCATTTACTTGGTGAATCCTTCGTCGCATCGCTCTCCGACGATTCAAAGGTTGCTTTTTCTCCCTAAATTCGTGCCGGTCTTTCTTGCCTTTAATGCGACTATGTTCCCCACCACTATATTCTCCATAGAAACTTGGTTGTCGAACTAAAATATTAAAAATAAATTTAATCAAGATAATGAATCATGTATACTTATCAAATACTGAGGATTCTCTTACTTGGTGCGTTCCACATGGCTATTTTTAATCGCAACTTTCCCTGAGGCTCTAGTTCAACCTACAACAGTTTTTATTATCAATAATTAGTCTTAAAACTGTATATTATAATTTCATATATATGAATAATTTACAAATACCGAGTCTCTGAGACTCAGTATTTGTAAATTATTCAGAATCTCAGACTCTTCAGTTGAGTTTAACTAAAGTATTGACACTACATATTCATATTTCTTATAAAAATAAAATAATCTTTGAACTTCATTTTTTTTATTACAAAAATCTGTATTAAAATTCGCTAGCATCAATCGATAAATCGATTGCACAGTAAACGTCTATTGTAGAAATCAGTTTTTTGAATATAATGTAATCATTTGTGACAGAGAGCTTTTCACACTTTATTCATTTTATCAGAAAATGGATGTTATAAGAAAGCAACTAAAATATCTCATACTCATTTTTATAGAACAATATCTTAATATTTTTAATATGCATAAATGTCTCATTATTTTATGCATTTTGCATAAAATAATAAGACAAATGAAAATATACATGCATACAAGTACATGTTTTTTCAAAAAATAACTGTATGTATTTTTTATATCAATTGATCCGTCTTATTATCGTGTGTATAAAAATAGCAAGATATTTTTTATAGGTTATCAAAAGATGGAAAGTTACACAATAGTATAGTTACACAGTAAATACAGAATACTTTACATTATTTTATATTATTATTTTATTTAATTTTATTTCATGTTAAAGTATGCCAGAATAAAATATATGATCGTTCAAAAAACAAATACACATCACGATGTTCTTAAATCAAATAGAGCAATTATTTTTTTGTTGCAAATTTAAACATGCTATTTTCTAATTATTCAATTTAAATAACGTGCTGTTTCCTAATTATTCGATATTTTTAACGAACAAGATTTAATCAATGAGAGATGTTGAGATACAAATATTCTCTTTTTTAATTACATTAATCAATTCTTTTCAATATTCTTTTCAATATACACAAATATAAATATAAATATTTATAAATCAATAGTAGATATTTAATATTTTGATATATAAATTTTAAATATTTTGTAAAATATATTCCAATATTTTTACTGTAATATTATCTTTTATCTTAATATCTTTACGTATAAAATAAGAATAGAATCAATAAAAATTGATTGATATAAAGAAAAAAATACATAATTATGTAAGAGAAAATTTATATTTCATCATTTCTCTCTAATCAACAATTTCGTTTGTAAGAAATTATAAATAAAAAATTCTGTATTTCTTAATTCTTTTGTAAAAAGATAAACTTCCTTTATTTTGAAACATTATTTATTATATTTTTCAAATAATTATTTTGAAATATCATATATTAAATAGCATAAATAAACTATATCATTGCTTTAAAAAAACGCATAGTTAATAATGTACTTACAGTTAATTACATACTTTATTTTTAAAAACTATTTCTTTTATATCAATCAATTCATCCCACAAATTTTATTTTTAAAAATACTTAAGATTAAAAAAATAAATATTTTATAAGATACTTCATATTTAATATCAAAATATATTAGAGGCAATAGCTTTGTAAATTTAGTTTTCCATTAATCATATCTTTATATATTTTTATAAGCAGAGTAACTGCAGAAATAAAAAAGGTCATACATTAAAAAAAAAAACCTACCATAATCATCAATAATTTTGAAATCTCAGAAAGATAATTCATTAAATCAATTTATAAAAAATTTATATAAGAATGTCATTCAATCGTTTCTTTTCAGGTTATGGAATATGCAAACCTTACGTATAAATCATAATTTAAATTATTTTTAAAATTAATTAAATTATTCTATATTTGTAATTAAAAAATACATTTACATATTATATTTTATTGGAAACATATGATGTAAGAATATTAAAAAATGCATTGTTTTCATCTATATCACTAAAATAATTATATATGACAGCAAGTTATATTTCTTAAATAATTGAAAGATAACATAATTAATTCCTTGGAAGCAGGATCTAGGATGTTAAATATCTATATGAATTTATATATCACCAACCACATGTCATTATTTTTAGCAGACTTTCAACACAGCAGCTCTACGATAATAAAAAATTTTTGATGTCAATAAACTCCTTTATTATTCTCTCTGTAGAAAATATATATTAAGAAAATATATATTAAGAAAAATAATCTCAGCCAGAGGTCAAATCTAGATTGCTCGCTTTTCGGACAAACATCTTATACATTAAATCACAGAGACTATGACAATATTTATCGTAATATTCAGATAAATAATGAAAAGATCGTCTTTTCCAGGCTGACGTGAGAATAAACAGTACATTAATACAAACCGAGTACATGTTAATAAACAACAGAAAGATAATATAGCCAATTCCTCGGAAGCAGGATCTTAAATGCTAAATATCTACACGAAATAAATTTAAATAATTATATCATCAATCATGTGTCACTATTTTTAGCAGACTTACAACACAGCAACTCTACAGTTCGACAATCAAAAATTCTTGTTATTATCTTCTCACAGAAATTTCACATAGATATTTAGCAGAGCTAAGATCCTGCTTTCAAGAAATTGGATATGTTGCATATTATGTTTCAGTTGTTTATTAACATATTTTCGGTTTAATTAATGTATTGTTTATTTTCATGTCAAAAGACAGTCTTCTCGTTATTTATTTAAATATCGCAATAAATATTATTGTTTCATACTTAGCACCTAAGATCCTGCTTTTGAGAAATTAACTATTACTTTTTAATTGTTTATTAATATCTACTTGGCTTATATTAATATATCAAATATATTTCTTTATACATAATTAGCCAGCGAAAAATATACAAAAATTCTTTCTACTCTACATATTTGATTTAGATATCTTTTATTTACTTGGTTAAATCAACAATTATGAAAGCATTAAGATAATTTTGATAATTTTTATCCAGATTATACAGTGTTTGAAAATCATTTCAAATATGAGATAAAATTAAATAGATTTGTGATATATAAAGTTTCATTATTAAATGTTGTATACATCTTGATATTATTCATATAATAAAAAAGTTTTTTGAATTAAAATTCTTAAAAATTATCCTGCTTCTAAATTTGTTAATTCTATTTTCATTTATGTTAAAAAACAATTTTTTTTTTGAAGTTTTCTTTCAATATATATCTATATATCAACATGTTTCTGTACAACAGTTCTTTCCCAACAGGCGTGTACACTGGACATGTCTTTTTTTATTTTTTTGTAGATAACTTTTTACCTTTTCTTTAAATCGTTTTTAATGTCTCGTTACATGAATACAAACGAAGAAAGAGTGAAGATCCGACTTGAATCGTAGTATCCATATTAATACACCTGCTGCTGCTAACATACACGCGCGCGTCACGCGCGGGGGATATACACACATGTGCGTGCGCGCGCACACAATTTAAGCTTAGAGGAAAAGATGAACACAGGACGGGCTCCTCACCCAGAAATCGTTGATCCCTTCGTATAAGTTTTTAATAAGATCCGTAAATGAGATGTTGCAATTGGCAATGAAATAATCCGGCGGCAGTACCGCATCGTGGAAGATCGTAAGACCCAAGAGGACCGCTTGCTGCACCTCGTGGATGAAACACTCGTTCCAGACTGGGTCCGAGGTCTTCAACTTGGTGGTCGTGCGGGCCAGGTGAAGCTCGTCGACATCCAGCTGTACGTACGGATCGAGCGTAGGCTCCTCCTTCTCCTTCCAGAACTTCCGCTGCTTATCAGTTGCCCGCAGCTTTCTCGCTTCACAGATTTCGATCTTCATTTTGCCGGAGAACATCGTGAACATTCCCTCACGATGGACCGACGTGCGAACGAATGGACCGCGGAGAGACGAAGACGAGTGGGACAATTAACAAGTCCCGTGTCCTCTGTTCGCGACTGTCGCGGACGGGCAGGTACTCACCCCTCGCGGCGAACGCGCTTATATAGAAAATCGCGCCCACGTTCTCTTACCCTACTCTACCGCGCTCAATCCATCCCTCTGTCTCTCTTTCTCATCTCTCCCCGTCTCTCTTCCGCTACGGCTGTGTGTCAAGTATTCTCCTACGCCTACACCGCCACCTCCTCTTCGTCGCGTCCTTTCCCTTTCCTCCTCCGCCACGAACACTAACGAACGCAGTGCAATTATGAACACTCCGCTGGGCGCTTGTCTTGCGTGCATAACAGGGACCAGCAGCGCGGCCTGTTCGCCGCCTTCGTTGCTGATCGCAGCGCGACGGTACGACGATACGATGACGATGACGGCGAGGACGACGACGTGATGACGGAGATGACAACCGCGAGACGACAACACGAGTACAGAGCCTGTCCTCGTCTTCTTCTTGTTCCCCTGACACCCATCGGGCTTTCCTCTCGTCCCGCGTGTAAACCCCCTTCCCACCCTTCTACCTCTGTCCCTGCTTAAGAAATCGGCGACACGTTAATCGGCGAACCGCGCGCGCGATGTTCTCCGCGCTTTAACGGTGATTGCGAGACGATGACGTATCCATGGATCGCGAAACGGACGACTCTTCGCCTGTCCTGAACTATCTTGCACCGACCTGAACGGAATCGAAGACCGCTCGATTGCTCATTTACGTTCCACACTAACGAACATCGACCGCATTCCAGGCCTACCTCGGACGGCCCCGGGAGACTAAACTTTCTCGCACGGTTCACGGAAGAATTTGTTCGGTTTACGTAGCCGCGCACTCGACACTCGTACGATAAGGCTGCGTTCCGAAATTCACTGGCAGTACTGCCAACATGACGTCACTACAGTGTGCTCCTTAAACGTTCCGTTTTCAAAAATGTATTATTACTATACTGTTGGTGCAGTTCAAGCGTTTGATTAATCAATCAGAACAAAGAATCCTATCCTAAGAATTGACCAATCAAAAAATGCTTCGAAGCTTTTGTGGCGTCTAGTGAATCAGACCTGTGAAATAGTAAGCAATAGTCACAGCAGGAAGTGACGACAAAATTTGAGATCTCTATTGCAATATCGTTATAGCACACTAGGATAAATTTTGAAACGACTTTACAGTAGTGTCAGAACTGGCACTAAGTTTCGGAATGTAGCTTAATTTATTTCTTCAAATTTCTTAACATTTCCTTTAATATTAAACTGTTTTTGTTTAACACTTAAAATCTTTTCAAAGTGTTTTAATTTCTTCTGTTCTTAAAATAACATATCAGGTATCTACTTATGTAAGTTCAAACTTTCATTACTTATGAATTCATTACTTATGTGCACTTGGGAGAAAAGGTGAAAAAATAACAATAAAATTAAAAAATTACAATTGAATTTCAGGATACAGACATACAAGATTATGCAGGATATTGCAAAATAGTAGAAAATTTTTCTATTCAGTTTAATTCATTCTACTTGTCCATTAGAAGTGATCTATGAATTATAAGACATCCTGTACATAGATATAATAAAAATAAAATAAAATACTAAAAATAATATAATTATAATAACAAGAATTTTATATTAAAATTTAAAAAATAAATGCCAGATTAGACAATAGAATCGTAATTATATGAATTTCTCTAGGACAATCTTTACCTTATCAAAAACTTTGTCGATAAAGAACTTATTGATTTTTAACTATTCAGTAATATGCATATCTCAAAAATGTTTTCTTTTAGAGGTTTTTGGATGTAATAAAAGGTTTACATACATTTCATTTTTTTCAATAATTAGTAAACAGAGCCAATACTACCGATATAATTATAATATCTTAATAAATTTATATTATTTTAAAAATTTTTAAAAATTTGATTATAGAAATTAAAATTTTTATTTTTTGTTTCATATTTACATTAATAGAACTCAAGAAATATTTTTAATAGCATTTATCAGTTTTATCTATCCTAATATAATGGAAGAAAAATATGGAATATTTAAATTATAGGAATAATCTTTATTGAAAAACAGGAGAAGTCCGAATCTTTATTTGTCTATATAAATAATCGAACACAGTATAAATCTATAAATATAATAATCTATTTACAGTCGTGCGATGTATTAACGTAGACGTCCTACATCTTGTGATTTTCAGATCGAGGACGACCTTAACGTTAGTGACTCCCACATCGAAGAGGTAATGGAGACAAATATACCAGTGAGAATAATAAAATCCTTTACCTACATCCTCGACGATCAAACTAATGTCTCGTCTATCGGAAAACTTCATTATTCGCAAATAAATATTTTCCGATTTTCTAAAAAAATTGTTATATTTTTTCTTACTTCAGAAGCAGAGTTTTATATTTTCCAATCATTCTATATTGTATCATCAAAATCGCTTAAATTTAAATTTAAGAATTAAGAATTGTACATATAGATTCTATAATTTTATATATATATTTTATATTTATATTAAATCGACTAATATAAATATCTAATCATAAAATGAAAGTATCATGCCTGGTGCATTCGTTTGATCGTCAAGTCTTATGGACCATAATGATGAACTTCATGTGGACAATAAATTATGGTGAGATTGACAGTGTGATATACATGATACTCTTTTGACTATGATGTATACTATACCATGTACGACATTAATTCGCATTTCCAGTTGCACTTTTAATTCTTGAGCCTCTATTCATAGTAACCACTGTCGAGACTGACAGTTCAGAATAAATTCGGCTATATAACACAATCGTCATCATTAAAGATTATCGAAAGCTATGAAGTCATAGATATGTTACTAATTATTGAATTTTTTTCCCAAAAACAAAGACTTATATGTAAAAAAATTTATCCTGCATTTTTGACATATATATATATATATATATATATATATATATATATATATCTTTAAAAATTTTCTCCTTACCGATGCATATTATAAGAATAGAAGAGCGAATAATTTGAGAGAATCTATTAAATTTGAAGAGACAATAATTAAATATAAAAAATTATATTATCATATAATTGTCAATTTTTGGAAATGATAAATGTCACATACTTAGAAAGATTTCAACACGTCTCTTTATATCCATTAACTCCATTAAACTCCTTATAAATCGTTCTACTTGAGTACTCCTGGAAAAAGAGAAGCTTAAGAATCTCTATCGTACAAGATGAAAATTACCTATGTAAAAAGCATTGAATCATTTTATGCTCCGATGATAGTATCCGATGTATGAATATTCTCTAGCATCTGCTGCGCTTCAGTTTCCTTTTCCTTTTCATTCTGCTCTGCCCCTGATATCACGTAAACGGGCTGTTGGCTATAAGCGAGAAAGTGTTGGTCCATGGGAAACGTCTTCGTGGGATCTTTTACCTTCATCTGTAACGAATTTATTTAGAGTATTTGTAGAGAATTGAGGTTGTAAATAATTCTCATGAACGTTAAAAATATTATTAGATATTTTTTTATAATATTAAAATATTAAATAAAATTTAAATTAAGATCTAGAAATAGAATATAAAGAATATAAAAAACAGATTCTCGTTGTCTCAATGAAGTTTTATGATGCTTTATGAATCTTTACCTTTTTGCGGTACAGCATCAATAGAATCACGAGGCTGCTAATGACGAAGGCGCTACTTGCTGCGAGCACGATCGTGGCTGTTTGGTAAAACGGCGTTTCCATTTGCGTGAGAATCTCACGTTGTTCTAACGCGACGATTCGACTCTGCGTGGCCACAGGTGTGGAGCGATGTGTAAAACGCGAGGTCGTTGCATCCGCGGACGAACCCAGCATGGATAACTTCTGAATTCGCGTGAGTTCTTCCAAATGGAATGCCACGTCCACTTTATTCGCGCCGACAATTTCGAAGCTCAAAATCGCTGAATCCTGGTTAATTTCCACTCGAATCTCTTTCCGGAGTCTCGCACCGAGCTCATGCAGAAAATTTTCAGCCTCTTTGGCGAATCGCGTCTCATCTGTGGCCAGGAATCGACCGGGAAAACGTAACGTCACGTCTACAGCTTCGACTGGAGTGGGCACTAATTAATAAATATAATAATTAAATTGTGTTTGCATATAATATATACATGTACGTATATATTATACGATATTATTTTTAATTTATTCTCTACCTTGATATTTTTCAAACTTTTTTGGATTGCGACTCTTATAAAAAACAAAACATAAATATTTCTTTTTAACTTTTGAGTTGAATGAATTTAAAGATTATTTTACTAATTATTAATATATTTTATTACTATCTAAAGTCAAATATATAAATGGAAATTTTCGAGGTTTTTTGTAACTCCTTTGAATTAGTTACGTAATTCTCACTTTGAAAAACACTCTCTATTCCATGTCCAAATCTTAACACAGAAAGCTGTACTTTTAATAATCAAATTTTCATTTAACTTTATTATTAAAAATTGATTTAAATTTAAATTTAAAACATTTTTATTTATATTTGTCGAATTATTATAATGAAGATATTTAAAAAAAAACTTCCACTTACAGCAAATGCTCGTTCCCTTAAAAAATGGTTCAGATCCGATCAATTGATTACCGGCTTCATCTACACACCAGCAAGTATCGCCGGCACATTGCGTAGGTTCAAATCTGCCCTGTGGGTCACATATCGCCGGCACGTGGCCTTTGTCCTTCATCGCCTGACATCTAGTTCCGAGGATCTTTTCTGTTCGTCGTTCATCCGTTTCCAAATTCAGCAGAGCGTCTTCCATGATCGCTTGAATTTCACGATCTATCTCTTGCGATTCTGGTCTTCTGCCACCTCGTCTGGCTTGCCGAAAGTTACACTTTGGCTCGGCGGCTCGAGTGAGCGAACCCTTAACCGGCTGGCCTTTTCGATTCACGCACCAGCAAACACCGACATGCTCCAAACACTGTATCGGTTCCCACATTCCGCTTTCAGGATTGCACTTGGGTAGGAATGTAGGTTGTTTGAGTCGCTGCGACCGCTTCAAGTTCTTTTCACGTAGTCTTTCACATTGCGATAGTACAGGACACACAGTGTCGCACACCAGCCGGCTAGAGAAATCATTGTGACCTAAGGTACACTCGTGCTTGCGTCGGCATTCATTGCGTTCTGGATCAAAGAACCATCTCTCGGTCTCGTTAAAACCTGCGCTTGGATTACAGGGTACCCTTCGGGGTGGCTCAAAGCAGACTTCACGCGGTTTCGGGCAGCACACAGCGTACTCGTCCAACGGCGATAGCTCGCATTTGTGCGTCGAAGGACAATGACGACCATGCGGACCACAGATAGCGACCGAGCCGTTTTGATCGAGTAACGGTGAGCTATTTGGGCATGGATTATCCTTCTTCGGCAAGCAGACTGGTACCGGAGGACACGGCGGTGCGCTACACGCGACCTCCACCATCCGACACGCTTCGTTCTCACCACGGCACGTTACGCTGCGACACGGGTCGCGGCATGAACACGTTGGGCAGCCCGTGTCCGCGTCTAGCTCGAAGCCATCTGGACAGTCCAGCTTGCAATCGATTTCCGGACATCTCAAGGGTGTATTACAGCGCGGCACGATCCCTTCCAGAACTCGAGTGCCGGCGGCTTCTTTCCCCTCCTCATCTACGCACCAGCATATGCCATTGTGACATTGCACCGGCTCAAACGCGCCGTTGGTATCGCATCTGGGTATGTAGATTCTTCTCGCGGGTTCACCCGATTCTCTGGCGGCATGTTCGGCGACCGCACGAGCGTGTTGGCAAGCCGTGGCCATAACCGGTGCCACGCATTGCGTGCCGCAGCCGGTCGAGCAACACTTGTCGCCGGATGGGCACTCTTGATCATTGCTGCACTGCAGCTCGCAACTCGATGAGCTCGGCACGAGGTATGGGCACTGACCCGGCTTGGTTGTAAGACACGCCGGTACCGCCGGACAATATTCGTTCGGGCCGCAGTTCACGTCGATCATCGTGCAGGTCTCGTGCGGACCGCAGGTGACATCGTGGCACGGTTCGTGGCAACGACATTGTTCACAGCCGGCTACATCCACCTCATAACCATACGGGCAGATCAGATTGCAATACAGACGTTTACAGATCCTCGTGAGTTCCTTGATGGCTTCACAGTCGGCCGAGGCCGATGGATCCAGATCAGTCTTCAAGATTACTCCGCGATGATTCACGCATTTGCAGCTGGTATTATTGTGACATTGTAGAGATTTGTAACTACCATCTTGTTCGCATTGAGGAGCTGAGATTGCCAAGGACATTCCCTCCCTTGTACCTTCCATGCGATCGTTGAAGTCCCGCAGATATTCGCACACTAAACATTTTAGAAACATTTTCACGTGAAGATCTTAGAATAAAAACTTTAATTTAGATATTTATCTTTAATTTAATTAAACAATATATTTGTCGTTATTGTTAAGTATTGTAAATAGATAAATAGATAAATTTATTTATTATTATTATTTTTATTATTATTTTTATTTATTAAGATTGATAGAATTACTTGTGGGTGCTTTCGCGGGGCTTGACGGTTCCATACAGCACACCGATTGACCAGCTTCCAATATCATTGTGCATTTATAGCCGTCGGGACAAGTTTCATTAGTCGAGCAAGTCGCAGCGTTTCCATCCTGATCGATCAACGGTGTACCGAAATCGCAGGGACTCTTGTAGGTCTTCCTGGGTTTACATTCCGGTTTTGTCGGACAGAGAAAGTCGGGACAGCCGTTCTCCCGCTTTAGAATACATTCCTGTCCTTCAGGGCATGGAAATCTGTAAAAATAACAGAGGAATTAAGAATTACTCACTCTTTCTTTGTTATTACTAAAATAAATAATGAAAAAAATAACAAAAGAAGAAATTTATAATTTCATAACTTTGACTCACAAATAAGAGATTAATTATTGTTGCGTTGATATGCTTACCCCTCGCATGGATCATCGCATTCGCAAGTCGGACAACCGGAAGCGTCAGTTTTGAAGCCGTACTGGCAGACTTGAGCGCACTGTTGAAACGTGCAAGACGCCGGAAGTGAGCGTGCTTTGCTTATCGATCTACAATCAATCTTCTCGGCGGGACCCATGGATCCGGATATCTTTCTACCCTCGTCGTCCACGCACCAGCAGACAAGTCCGTTTCTCGAGCATTGTCTCGTCTCGAAATCTCCATCTGTACAATTATTTTATGTGTTAGAAGCTTTATTCCATTGCTGCAGAATTCGCTTCTCACCTTCCGTGCATTGCGGAATATAGCCACGACCCTGACGCTCGGAGACACTGAGTATCTCGGCGAGCATGCGGTCGCGATGACACGCGCTCAGATCCTGAGGTATCACGCACACGTTACCACCGCAATGCTTGCTGCTGCAGCACTTTTGGGGACCAGGGCACTCGAGGTCATAACGACAGATAGCCCCGCATGAACTTGTCGTCGATTCCTCTGCAGGACACGTGCCGGGTCGTTGCAGCTTCACGTTGGATGGACAACAGACCCCGTATTCCTGTTTGGGTTCTACCAGGCAGCTGTACATCGGCGGACAAGTTGGTTTACCTGGCGTGTCGCCGCAAAGGAATGGCCGTGGCGAATCGGTGATCTGCAAGGGTTCGCCCGCCGGACAGATTGTCGATAAGGATCTGGTCTTCCGACAGCTGGGTATCGGTGGACACGGCTCCCGAAAACAGCTCACGGCGATTAATTCGCATGTCTGTCCAGTCCCTGGACAGGTAACGTCGTGACAGGGATCCCGACACTCGCATTTGGGGCAGCCGGTGACCTCATTGATCTATCATATTGGGAAACACGGCGTTTTTCTATAATAAGAATCTTATGAAAGATTCCCCACCTCGCCTACATCTAAAATGGTATTCCATTTAAAAACACAAAAAAATTCCCCTTTTTATATCTTAATATATATCTTTAAATGTTTGCAGCCATTTACTTTCTAATAAAATTAGACCTTATAAATTATAACTGTACAGTCGTTTGCAAAATCGATTCACAAACGTTACAAGATATTTAGAAGTTTATTCTTGCAATATGAGAAACGATAGAAGGATCAAAAGAACAAAAAGAGGCTTGTTCCTGGACATTTTCAAAACTGATGATAATCTTTAACGCTGAACACATTAAGTGTAAAATATATAGATTTATATTGGATATACTTCGAATCCCAGAGGGCAGAGCATTCGACAGCTGTGGGCTGGACAATCGCGAGGCCTGTCACAGTCTATGACACTCTTGCTGGGCGCCCTGGTGCCGGGTATCTCGGCGCCGATCTCATTGACGCACCAACAGCTGCGGCCGTGTGGCTCGCATTGTATCCTCTCGAATTCGCCGGTCGCGTTGTTACACCGCGGCACGAACTGCGACGGACCCCGATCGCCGAGGGCCCGTGATCTTCTCACAGCCGCCAACGCCAGCTGTTCACATCCGGTCAGCTCGCCCGCGACGCAGCGGAGACCGCATGCGGTTTTGCAGCATCGTTCTCCCGGCGTCCCCTGACATTCGTAGTCATTCTTGCAGGCCGGCGCTCTCGATGGACATACATTCTGTTCGACGAGAGACGGACATCGACCGGCAACTTTCAGCAGTGGCTCTGCGTGAAATGCAAATCATGCGATTTGTAAATCCAAACATAATATCGATATTGTATCGATATGGATTTAGTGTTAAGAAAAAAATTAACTAAGAATATGAAGTCATCATTTCTGAGCATTTCTATTTTGTAAATTAATATTTTCCTTCTCATATTAAAGATATAATTTAGAAATTTTCTAACTTTTCACATCAATTACTCGCTTTATTTCGACGGAATGTTAAAGTCGAAAATTTTTAGAATTCCATTTTCGATATCCAGAAGAAATATTAATTAATTATAAAAATAAAAACAATCGGAAATAACCGTGGTATTTCCGATTGGTATTTCTATTGTTGATTCCTATAGTTTGTAAGATTCATTTCAGTATAAGATTTTGCATTTAAACTTTTAAATATTATTCAATCAGATTTAATATTAGCTTGATTTTTAATTATCATGCTGATAACTGTAAACTTATTCGCATTAATAATTCACGAATACATAATTGCAAGCAAAAAATAATAAGAATTTTGAATACATTTATAATACAATGTTTTTTAAGTATATTCAAATCGATATTAGAGAATAAAAAATTCAAATCGATATTAGAGAATAAAAAATAATCATCGCGTTTTACAAACAATTAAGATCTATAAATATAATAAATTAAAGAAAATCAAAATAATATTTAACAGAAAACATATAAATTAATAAAAGATAACAATTTTTAATAAAAAGCACAAAATACAAAAGCGTATGCTCAGTGCCACATTGTGAGTTCAGATTTAAGCTGGTTTAATAGGTTTATTAAGAAATTAATAAGTTCGCTTTAATAAGTTCCCGCGAGATGAGATGTTTTCTCGGATGAGAAAAGTTGGAGTAGCGTTTTTGAACACGCTTGGACTAAAGTGTAGCACAACGATGATAATAATAATAATAATAATAAAAATAGCTGGACTCAACAGCTAACGGTTCCTCGGCATCCTACTGCCACACTTACTATACTTATCTAACGTGCTATGAGCGCATTTCAAGGCGGTACCGTGATAGCGAGTGTCTCCAAGCATTCAAAAAAGAAAAAAGAACATGCGCCAAAATGGGATGAACGAATAAAAAAGTTAATCTATAAAAAGTTAGTATGAAAAAATGGAAATAGATATATGGAAGCAAATAACTCTTAAAACAATTGCTAAAGTATAAGATTCATGTAACAAACAATTTTTACAATTTTTTTTTTTTTAATTTCAATTGGAATTTCTAATTACAAGAAGATCAATGTACATTAAATGTCTTAAAATACAAATTACATTAAATGTTTTTCAATTCGAAACATTTAAGCTCTCGTAGCAAATTTATGCACGATGCGATGGGTGTTTGCCATCCGCGTTCCGTTACATGACACATATTAATACGCGGAACGGTGATGCACGTTCATGTGACAAATGAAGAAAGTGTCCGATTCAGACAGGCACACACGAAAAGAAAATCCACCCGAATGGATATTCCATTTAGGTATCTCCTAGCGAAAGTCCTCAGTACACTATATATATCAGCGTGTGCAGTGACTATTAATCTGCCGCCCGTAGTATTTTTTGAACGTGGATTTTTTCATCAAAACAGAGTTTCATCCAGGTGAAATTCGAGAGGCTTTAAACGCCGTGCGTTCAATTACCCAAATTTCCGATTCGTCATAGATATTCTCGTCTCTTTCGTTCTCTAGATTTATATCATGTAACAGAATATAACAATTCTACATTATATAATTAAATAATTATATAATATTACATAGAATTTTATGCTGATATATACAGAATAGAATTTTACATTGCGTTAGCGTAGAATTTTACGCTGATATGTATATATGTATCAGTTCTTCAAGACAGCAAAAATCTATTGTCTTCTATTGTATTTCAATAAGCGTTACAAATGGATTTAATATATATTACATTGCTGAAGCCAGCGTATCCTCGTATCCTCGATACAATTCTCTTTTAAAAGAGAGAAAAATGATAAGAGGAAGGAAAAAAAGAGAAAGAAAAAAGGGGGTAGAGAAAGAAGTAGAGAAAGAAACAGAAGAGAAGGCGAAGGGATATTTTAATGGTGTGGGAGAAATTCAATTTGTTATTGACATGCAAATCGGGTTGCCCTCGATATTTATTGAGAAGATGCATCCTGTTGTAACACATCGCGATAAGAATCGATTGCCGGAATACGAAATCGTCAGGGAAGTCTCTAATCAGAGTAATATCGCGTTATATCGTTAGATATGCTATTTAATTCGCTGATTCGAATATACATGCATTGCTTTTCCGATCATCTCTACGTCATGTACGTTAATGATCCGTGCAATTCATGCGTGTACGCACGCGTATGACGTATGCGAAATTCGTAACGCTACGATTACCAAGCGAATATCGAGCATTACAACCGGTTTGATTCTAAGTTTAGATTCCAAAACTACGCGTGAAAACGCTCTCTATTTATCTCTATTTATATGTAACAGTAGAATTGCTGCGCATCATTTTTCTATGACGTGGAAAATGAAATTTATTCACAAATTTTTAATTATTGTTGTAAACAAACAGATCTCGTTTATTAATAAATAGTTTTTAAGGATCATTATGGAGAAAATTTAAAGAAAGCCTTTTTTCTTTGATTTTGTATATAAATATTGTTATAAAAATTGACTAATTTATTAAATTAAAAAGAAAGGATATAAACAAGAGATATAAAAATACGAAGTTTTAAATTTTTAAGTTTTAAAGGAGTGATTCAAATAATATATAACGTTGCACGATTTAAAATGTCGAAATACACGATGAAGATGTCAATTTATTTTCCAAAGATACTTTTTTGTAATCGCATTAATTATCTATTTTTTAACACTATTTACGCACGCATTGGATAAAGATGTCAAACTAACGAGGAGGAAATAACGAGGCAACAAAAAAAAAAATAGAAAAAATAGAGCGCATACCAGCGGTGATCGATGTCGACAGCGAGAGAACGAGTAGCAGACAAGTCGACGACACCCACACAACGGCGCAGGCAAGCCCACCGTTGCAGAAATCACGGCGCATCCTCAGCACATCAAGTAATTTTTGAGCCGGCCGCTATTATCTGGAACAGTCACAATTGTGCCTTGATTAAAATACGAAAAAAATCCAATCGTCGCGATAATCGATAGGAACGCTAATTTAAAGGCTACATGAAAAGCCGTAGTCGTCTGGCTCCACCATTTTTCTCCTTTCGAAACGAGAGTAAAATAGCTCTGTCCGCTCTGTTCGCTTCAACGTGACGCACTCTTAATAAATTAACGGCGAAGTCCGTTGACTCTTCTTTCAAGTGCACCATCTTTGTGGAAATATCGTTATCCGATGTAGAGTCTCTCCTCTTTTTCGTAGTCACCGTGAGTCAGAGACTCTCCCCTTTAAAGCCCGGGGAATAACAATGGAAGTTATGTCTCCTTATTCGTTATGCCGCGAGGAATATTCTAATGCGCTCTCTCCTACGTTATTCATGAGCCAAACTCGACTTCAGATCTACGAATTGTCAGACCGTTTTCGTTTCTTCTTTCTCATTTTCTTCTTTTTATATCTCGTTACAAGCTCGGCTGTGACGTATCGTTTCTTTTCATCGCGATGATTATCCCGCCGTTGCCCATTGTAGCCATTGTGAGATTCTTCATAATGGTTACAATGTAATTAAAAAATAAAAACAAAAGAATTGTAACAATCGAATACTCTATCTAATGTAATTACAATTTCAATATTGGTAAATTGATTGATTGCGTGAGAGATTCTGATTGGATGTCATTGCTATTATTAGAGACAGAAATAAAAACACATTATTATTAATAACAGACATCATTAATATTAGTTCAATAATATTTATGGGAACAGAGTTAGATACATTTTAGGAAATATGATTTAACACAGAAGATAAAATTTTTATGAATGCGCTTTAAAAAAGACGGCTTCGCCGTGATCAATACCGACGAAAGTTATGCCTGTGAGTACGCAATAAATATTTCAAGCGTTATTTTCGATGTATCTAAGCTCTAGAATGCAAAGAAGCCTATCGCTCCCCTCACGGGACGGTCTTTAATGCACCTTACTTCGTGATTTATATGGCGATAGCTGGCAAGGCTGCTCGACGGTGAAATTACCGGCGCGTTGCGGCGGTTACATCCTCTGGGAAGTCCTCGAATTTAGGGTGTGTAGCCCGGCGACATGAATAATGCAACGATAGTGGGATATGGCCGTAATGCCACGCCACTTCTTGGTGCATGATGGCAATTACGTGTAGCAATCGCGTCGAGATTATACGAGATTGTCATTAGCCTGTTGTTGACCGTCAACGGAGAAGTGATTTCTACGTATTGCGATAAATTGCGATTGATGAAGACGCGAGAGGATTTTTCTCTATTTCATTAATCTTGATTTTCTCGGGATTTTTATTTTAACAAATAAACAAAGAAAAAGACGATGCGACTCAAACTGAATTAAATAATTCTAATTGAATTTCTATTTAATATAACCGTTTGTTTTACCTCTTCGGGACGTTTTTTTGACAAATAAATCAAAACGATGCGATCCAAAAATATGGAATTTTATTTAATTAACAGGTACTTCTTTTCGCTATGTCTTTTTGTGCTGAAGAATATATTCTATTATAAACGCAATGGTTAAAGATAAAAGTTATATTTATCCCTTATAATAATACCAATCGCATTCGTTCGAACGACCTCAATAAAACGTAACGAACTCGATCGTGCGAGAAAGTTTGCATTAATGTTCGCGCATTATTTAAGGTATCATTACTCATTAATTATTCGTGAGAGTAAAATAAAGACGGTAGGTAAATGGATCACAAGGTGAATTTGATTGAAATAAACGCGTATTTTAATTCAGAGAATATGATAATTATGAACATAATAGAGAAGTAGATACAAGAATAATTCCGCCATATGGAAAACTGAACATTTTTATCCTTAAAATTAGTTTTATCAAACTTTTAAAAAAAGGTACATTTGATTACCGTTATATAGAATCGTTCAATCATAATTTTATTGTACTTTCTGAAAGCAAAAAGAATAAATAAAAAAAGTCGCTCTATAGTTAGATACATAATCAGTCGCATAAAACAATTTCCATATTCGTGTAAACGGTAGAATGTGATATGGTAATATTATATATACTACAATATAATAAATGGAATATTATCTGTTGAATGGAATAATTATTGTTAAATCAAACAATCGAATCAAGCGCTGAAGGTCGTGAAATCAAGGTTCGTCAACCTTTATTACGCTTTGGAGCACGTTCTGGATGCGTTTATATTGATATTAGTTATCGTTTTGTAGTTCTCATCTCCACTGTCGAGTTTCTACTTATTCGTGATATTTTCCTCAACGGTCCATATAAGCGACTGCATACATCTACTCTCTCACGGTTGATTCACCGGATGTGGGTCACTCGTCGTCGTCAGCGTCTTCCTTCCGGATCTTGGCCTTTAACTTTCTATTGTCGTGGCATCGTATGGATTCCCGAATGCGTCATCGTCGGTACACTTTCGTGAGAAAAAGAGGAGAGGAGAAAAAAAGCGGCCGCGCTTATGAAAGAAGGCAAGGTCCGCATATCTTCCAAGGAAAGAATCTCGATTCCGTCGGGCCTGTCGGTCGTCGGAGAATCGTGAATGAGAAAAGAAGTCGAAGTCGCGCCGGAATCGAGGAATGGCCGATCGGCCGAGAAACACGAGAAAAAAAGAAGCGAGGCATCACCCGTCGTAGCCTCTTACATTCTTCGCGAATAATAAGTGGTACGGTCGTGTAATAAATGCCATGGTGCGATTTTAGTGGCGACAGGGTAAACAAATAACTACATACTTGATGGCACTATGTGACATTATTATTAAATGTGCTCAGAATTCAGTATTGAGATGCAGTAGATGTCTTGAAATTTCTAGCTTTAACGACTGCCACATGAATCTTCTTCAAATGTGTAAAATTCAAGACTTCGTTGAATATAACATCTGAAATTGATTTCTGCGCGATTAACCCGAACGTATTTTAATTAAATATTAATTTTTTCAAATTGCTGATTAATATAATAGAATTATTAAATATAATAAAAAAAATACAAGACATGTGGAACAATTTAGTTTTATATTTTGCATCAATATGTAAACTTCAAAGAAGATTTTAATTTCTTTAGAAAAGTTTAATTTTTTTAAAAAAACGTTACATCTTTTCCGATCAATCAATACCTTCATTACCGTGATTTTACTCGAATAATAATGGTTTTGACGTTTCACGCTGGAAATTGCGCACTCAAACGCAAAGTGCACTTGGCTAATGGCTGCATAGCGAGGTAGAAACAGTTATACGCGAAAGTTATCTCGAGCCTTTGTTTAATGTCATCGGTGCTTTCTCTAGATTCTGTTAAAGCATTGTCGTGTATAAACGATTTATAGAAATCATTATATTTTTCGCAAATGTTACTTTAGATTTTCTCCCAAATTATCATCGTTACTTCACAAAAATATCATACAATTTATGATTATGTTAAACAATTTTAATACATCATTTCTTTTTATTTTCACTCTCTCGTCTTA